TATAAGTAGAGGAAGTGCACTGGGGTGGCATGTCAGACGAGACAATCGGTGATCGGCACGTAGTACTAGTTATTTGCATACACGAATAAATAGCGACGTAGTGTCCCACTATAGTGAGGTGAGTAGGGGTTGTTTATTTTAAAAATTTCCATAACTATGTAAATATATATATAAATATGCATTGATTTATTTTAATGAAAAATTATGGAAAGCATGAGTTGGTAGAAATGTTAGGAAATTGTGGATGTTATGACTTTGAAAATGGCTTTGAATATATGTAAGCTATATATATATATATATAAATATATGTAAGGGTTCCTGAATTTGGGAAACAAGTTTTTCTTTATGATTTATGTCAAGTATGTGCCTTATGGTTTGTGTATTGTGCATTCATGATTGAAACACATATCCACCATGCTAAATGATTTTTCACTCTCATGTAAAAGGATTATATTTTAAAGTCTTATAAGGGATTTTATCATGTACTACGTGAACATTTTGGAAATGATTTTGAAATGAAATTTTGAGGGTCCAACTATATTTTAAAATGATTTTATTTAACCGGGAGATTCGAGAGTAGGCCGATTGCCACTCCGGTTAAGTGTGACCCTTGTGCACAAGTGAGCTATAGCTAGAGAACTTTTGAGTCACGGACGGGCTGTTAGACATGGCTGGGGCCAAGGTCTGTGATTTTACGTGGCTAAGCCACTAGTTGTGATACGCGGCTACAACCGCCTGATTTCTCTTATGTCGACCAACATCGTTAAGATTGCCATGGCATGTTAGGATCCAGTGAAACAGAGCTCCTGAATGTTATTACATGGAAACGGGTCCATGTGCTCTTTATTTCTACACCTACTCGAGGGTGATATCTCTTTGGGTTTTCATGTAAGTAATTTTCGCAAGGTGAAAAATAACAGTTTTTCTGCTACTCCCTTATACGATGAAATTTGATTTAATTCCTCACGTACGAGGTGAATTGTGAATTTGTACACAAGCTCTGTAAAATGTTGGATTTTACGAAAGCATGCATGATGACATTAAATTATTTTAAACCAGATGTTAAGCGATTTCGATGGTAGGAATCTTTCCATGATTTGGGTTGATATTTGATGTAAATCATTATTTAGCATAAACTTATATTTTCATATAAGGTACAAACCTTCCTTTTCGAGTAAATTGTTTACATATATTATTATATTTTTAATATTCAAATCTTCTACCTTTTACTTGTTTCCCATCTACGCCCTACTCACGGAGTTGATGATCACTGGGTCCGTGAGACTCACCCCCCTTATTTTCTTTTACAGATAAGTAATACGTTCTAGTGCACTGTTCAACACCTCAAGATTTGGCTACAACCTAGGTAATGGCATATCTTAGACTTCCACTCCAAGTCACTCCGCTGCCTAGAGGTTGAGTTGTGTTGAATAGTCAGGCTTATAATGATTAATAGTTTTATTGATAATGTATGAGCTAAAACTTAAGGTTATGTAATGATTAATACATATTATGTTGAATTTGTATGGGATCATCAAGCTAGTTATTAGTGTCTAGAAGTCACGTTTAAATATTGTGAATATTTGGTTTAAATGAATTATGGCGTTAAAATTGTAAGTTGAGTTTAAATTGTTTGAGGGTGTAACTAAGGCTTGCTCGAGATTTGATGGTTCATTCGTAAGTCTCTAATGCCGGTAACGATTGGGGGAAAAAGGTTGTTATAGACTTGGTATTAGAGCCTTAGGTTTAGTTGAGTCCTAGGAATTATTGTGTTAAGTAGTAGAGTAGTAGGGTTAACGTAGAATCTTGCTTATAGTTAGTGACTGCAGCACCCATTATAGGTAGGAGGTTGTGTAGACCTCTTAATCTTAGAAAATCATCATGTGGAATTTTAAGTGATCATTAAATAACAAGAATTTATTATCGATGTGGAGGGTTGCGGGTGAATCGGACGTACCTCGAGAAATTGATGAACGATTACGAATTACTACCTCACGCGGATGAGGTCGTTCTAGAAACAGGGGGAGGAGGAGTTCTTGACGCTCAAGTGATGGTAGTTCCAGTGATCAAAGGAGTGC